AAGAGCTCTCTCGAATGAATATATACACTTCGCCAAAAACAAAGCGAATCGTTGTAAAATGACCCTAACACAAAACTCTACGAAGTTATGTTACAACCCAATAAAATCAATCATTGGTATATGCTCCGATACATTTCTTCCATCTTTTTCGAATATTACGCTATTGGGTTGTTCAACGGGCCATCATTTCTTCGTCCGGACTGAGAAGCAGACCACTCTATAGTATACATTCTGGGTCACACCTGACACGCCACTCACGGAGTGTAATGCTTGACATAGTCTTAGAAGGTTCTGGAAGTTGGACTATTCTCCTTATATGTATTCAACACTTTCGCTGCAGCGTTCTGACACGTTGTCCTGACAGTTCTGCAATTCAACGCCTCTTTATTTCATTTTCCAACTCCTTTATTATCTACTCCTGAAGCAAACTTGACCGGATCTGCTTCTACAGTGCATTTCATAATGATAAGGCCACCCTCAAATTTTGCACTTTCAGAAAAAGCAATCGCTGAGGATTTTTTCTAGCATCATGAACGGATTCCCCAGCACGAATAACCAAGGTATCCGTTTTTAAGCCGCAGCTGCATTTTTCTGAGTTTTTTTTAGTACAGTTTATCGGTATTTGCATCATTTCATAATTATAAGGTCACCCTGAGAAAGTGAACAATTATTCATGGAAGAGAGGAAATTCCGTGTATAAAGATAATTATAAAGGTAAGCATGTGTAGCAAATGCATTTTTAAAGCTGGCTGTCAACATGGCTTGTGGTCACCTGCTTTCCTCTGATGAGAAAGCTCATCATGAAGTTGGGCTCAGTACTCGAGCCATTTCCAGGCAAATAGAGAGATCCCCTTGGTCCATTCGGAGATTTCTGGAAAGCCCTCTTGTTGTTAGATATAACACCGACTGTGGACTCCCATGAAAGTTTACTGCCCGTGACGAGCCGAAGATCCTGAGGCCTGTTTCCAACAGTACGCCCTCCTTGAACCAGATCCGCTCGGAATTAAACCTTTCTGTGTCGAAAACTACAGTCTGGAGAGCAGTGAGAAGATGCGAGAACATCACCAGGCAAGCAATGGAGAAGGTGCCACGAATCACCGATCGCCACAGAGAGGCTCGACTCGGATTTGCAAAGATGAACCTAGGGAGAAATTGGGCAAAGGTAGCATCGGCATCAAAATCTCATCACAGAGCTGAATAATTCCTATTCAGATCGTCTTTTCGGATGAAAGGAAATTCAATCTAGACGGTCCTGACGGAAGTAAGCGATACTGGCGTTACTTGAAAAAGGAACCAGTCTACTTCAGCGGTCGCAATTTCGGTAGAGGAAGCCTATGGCGTGGGGTGCATTCTGCAATGATGTCGTGTTGGATCTACATACCTGTCGTGAGCTGCAGTATGGATTTCAGGGATTACCTGAACGTCTTGGACCATCATCAGGGTGACCTCATAATTATGAAACGGTGCAAAAGCCGACACTATCTTCAAAAGAATCATAGAAGGATATTGCGACAAAAATTTGAATACGGACGTACATTGTGATGAGGAATCTTCCAGTGTTTGCCAAAAAGTTCCATTCCAGCTGCTTTTTCCAGGATCGCAAAAATGGAGGGTGACCTTATAATTATGAAACGCACTGTATTTGCTTCTGCGAGTAGATTTGTGAGGACCCGGGCATTCCAAGTGATAGCGCTACCCAAAACTGCTTTGGAAGGAACAGTTGATCGCTGACCCTAACAACCCAAAAGAAGCTAATGTTGCAGGAGATAACGTGAAATAGCTCAAGTAAGGCACTCAAAGCAAAGGAAGACGTGGCTTGACTCGACCTCGTATATTTGGAAGCTCTCTAAATGCGTCCATTTGGTGGACAGATCGTAAAAGAGGATTGCAAGCAGTCTCTCAATCTTACGATGGTTCACGTTGAAAACAAGTACATTGATTGGGAAAGAGCCAAGACGACAGGAGATAACATGTAACCCAATGTTGATGTCGGAGACGACATATAACTCAATGAAGATGTCATACACCTTGGAGAAAGGTCTTCAAGTTGAATCTCGAGGTGTAACGTGAGTTTTACACTTGCTGCTTCGAACATGGACAACTTTGCTAAGCAAGCATGGGTTTTTTAGATTTTCAGGTCGTGATCTGCACCGACTAGTTGTAACGAGACTACGTTTTCCAACATGTGATGCATCGATAGTGTTTTCCTTACCATCCCCTGGATCATAATGTATCGCCATGCTGGAGCTGATGGCCTAAAGCTTCTTGGGAAGCGATTTTGTTAGCAACTTGCAGACGGGTGAACGTAGAGAAAAGCAAAGCATTGTCCTGTTGTGAATTGTGCTGTCTTAATGCTGTGTGGTCATCCCAGAAGGAAGCAATTTCTAAACCTGAAGTCGTCGTAAATGAGTTCTAACGAAATAGTAGGTGCAAGCACCTCCACATTTGCCCCACTCCTATTTGCGAATCTTATGCGACGATCTCCTTCTGCAATCATTTTTCATGATTATCGTTGTAAAGGTATTCTACGACTGTGAACATGCTCCGAGGTCACCTTCATATCAGCGAGACGTTACAGTTAGAAGTTCTTACAGATTGTTACGAAACCAAACTAATGCTGCATTCGAGAAGCTTCCTTTTCGGTAATATATTCTAGTAACGTTACTAAGTTTTGTAATAATAGTTATGCATGGCAGAAAATGTGATGATGATCATGATCCTCATCTTCACATGATCTGCAGCAGCAATTTGTTCTGCGCCTCGATACCGTTTCCGGTGCCCTGTCGTCGCATCCAGTCGTGCTTTATCGTATTTCGCTTTACTTTATTACTTTCGTACTTTTTTTTAGTTTTACTGGCTGGCCTGACATTCCTGGGCGACAAATATACATCAGTACTGCGAATGATCAGCTTCAGCACACTGATTTCATAGGGAAGCTCGCCCCGCTTCTTAGAGGAGGCATGAAACATAATGATTACTTAGCAAATAGCTTGCTCACCAATCACTTATCAGGGCATCAATAGCTTGCTTGACTTCGAGCTAGAAACAGGGCAAACTCTAATTGGCTGTTTTCAAGTGGCTTCGAGCCCGAGACTGGGCGAATTCAGGATGGATATTCTTGATTTGAAAATTGGCCACTGCCAACACTACTAACCAGTGAGTCACAGCAGAACTACGCTTCTGTTTCGAATAATGATTCTAATTCTGTATCCATTCGAGACACATTCCATCACTGGAGAAGGAACGAGTTGAGACAAAGGCTAAGCTTTGGAATCCTGTATCTCGAAAGGCAACCTCTTGGAAATTAGGCAATGACGAAACTAAAGGACGGAATTATCTACATCACTAATCAGCTTTACAGCTTCACTATGGTTTTACTACTCTACGACATTTACTAGCCTTTTCGGCCACTCTGGTTTCAGTCTGAAGGAACGCACTGGTATTATAGTACTGCGCGCCTTCCAACCCAACTCAAATGTGTTTCTAAGGTAGCGAAAGTAAGACTTGTCCACTTTGTGTTGCAGCTGACTCTGCAACACTGCTTCTGGCGAATTCGTGATTGTAGCACTGTTACACACGTTGTCGTTGTCAACACACAAAAGTTGTCAAGCTTAACGAGGCAAGATGTACGGAATTTGAAAGGGCAGTCTTCCTATTTGTTGCGCGTCATAACAATGTGAGGTGGTTCTGATTCCTATGCTCTCAGGAGAGCATGGCAGCTCCGTTAAACCAAGTGAAAGTAGGCCAGATTTCGCGCAGGGTGGCATGCGCGCTAGGTGGCATGGAGTAGAGCGATCAGGTCGTAAGGGAGGGATGCGTCGTACAAGGACCTACAGACTTGCATGCCTGCTTTCCAGTGCTTTGCCAGGCTAGTATGGTATGCGACAGTGCAGAAAACAACCACTTCTCTGTCTGAAGCCGCATCAGACAGCATTGTCAGATTCACCTGAGGCTGGATAGGTGTCGTAGAATAATATATGTTTTTGGGTCTTCTTATAACGAAGGTTGCTTGGTGATAGCCGCGACTCTCTTCAAACTCTTGGCTCCATCACTGACTAGGTCAAATCATCAAAAGTGAGCAAAGAAATTGAGCGAATGTTTGACAAAAATCCCTAGGCTAGCATCATCACACTCAGCATCATATTAATGTTCCCAATTTCATAGCTACCTGGTACGCTCTATTGCCTTATATTGTTTCTCGCTTGGAATATCGTATATGCTAGCCACCCGCAACTGTATTCACTCGACTATGGCCTCGGGTTCTTCAGGGTGCTGTTCGCTCAATCTCAGTCTGAGCTGACCGATTGTTGGCAACAAGTCAGAGCTGTTTTGTAAGGAACCTCATTCTAGCCAGCTCATTCCATATACTTCTAGAAGTACTTTGTTTCAAATTGACGGAGTGTGATTTTTAACTTCAAAAACAGCATGCTATGAAGTTGACAATGTATCACCACAGCCAACAGACTAAATCCACTCTATCTTTTTTTTCTTAACGGTGTAATTAATGTAATATTGATTAATAATCTAACAAGTATTTTCAAAACATGGAGCTTCCAGGAAAAATGGACAATAGCATTGCAAGGCCTTTGCGTATTGCTACCTTACAAACAGCTGGTCTGACGAAATTAGATTCCAGCTAGGCCAATGCTTTGCGCCGCACTGACAAGTAGTGGGTATGTTAACAGCATTTACTGTGATCGCGAGACGATCCACGATTGCAAATAATGAAGCATTAAAAGCTCACAATGGGTAAGGAACCAGGCTCGATCGGAGTACCTTCTCTGAACCACTTGATTTCGGGCTTCGGAATTCCACCTACAACTATACATGACAGTCGAAGGTTTCCACCTTCGATGAGTTGTTCTTCAGGTGGAACATGACCCAGCACAGGAGAAACTGTAAAATACGTACCTAGCTTTCTGAAGAAATCTATCCATTATTCCACATCCTGAGAAAGTTTAAGCTCACCCAATCCACTAACGACAACCAGTGTGGTTTTCGACTGCTCTCCATAATTGTTTTTAGCTGTACATGTGAAGGAGGTCTGGTCATCAAGTTGAGCGTCTAAATTTTTCTTACTTCACAATTTAATTGTTTCTTAATTTCTAGCTTCTGAGTACACTTTTTACTTGTGATGAGTAAATATCCATCGGTGAGCAGAGTGTAATGAGAATAGTTAGGAAGCACAAGCGGAACGGTGTCGCGCTGCCACGTGACGGTGGACGATGGATGTCCAACTGCATTACACTGCAAAGCAACCTAAACAATAATGGTGATTTTAAAGAACAATGCGAATAAATCATACTTGACATATTGGCACATGACCTCTTTTCCAATGTCGACCTCGACGATACTAGGCGAAGGAATTATATATGGTTCTCCTGGAAGAGACATACTGTGCAAACGGATTGCATCAAAGTGCTAGTTAATCTTTAATAGACTCACTTCCCACCGCTAGCTTTGCAACGTCCACTACTCTCCCAGCAATATTATGAAGGACACACGAATATGAACCAGCATCACTTTCGCGAACTCTCTAGAAAATCCTCAAAACATAATCAGAGGTAACAGTGGAGCCCTTGAAATCTAAATTCAAAAGCTCGGAAATGAAGGGCGAGCGAGGAACAAGACTCTGCCCGACTCACTCTTATTTTGAGATGTTTTCCAGTTATAACGATAGATTCTTTGTCGTCATGCGATAGCTCTTTTTCATCCTTGAACCAAATGAGTTCAGGTAAAGGTGTTCCTTCCAGAATCTACAAAAAACATACACCTGCGTAGTGCTGTCATGTAAGGACAGTGACGGCTTGATGATACTTACTGTGCATTCGAAGATGACGCTGCTCCCCTTTTCAACTACAGACTTGCTTTGTTTCAACTCCACACGGGGAGCAACTGAAAAACTTTCCAACTTTGGGAGACGATACAGAAGCCAATCTTCATGAGGACATAATAGTGCATTAAGCCTTCCATGAAATTCCTGCGCATGTACGGAGGAAAGTATCTACTGATAAAATAACTCTCGCAAAATGCAAAACTGACCTGCAACGAATGCCTTCGCGGTGTCTGTGTTCATTCCGGCGACTGAAATTGCCTGACATTCATAAAGTCCAACATCATCTAGTGTTGGATCACGTACAATAAGATCATCTAAAAATGTCATATAATATAGCAGTCGCTAGAACCACCGGGTTTTTCTGCTTTCTCCAGTCACCGACGTTACACTGGTTTTCAAACGACGGACCCTACTTCCGGCGTATGGAGGTATGTTAGAATTGAAGTCGTAGTTGGAGACCTTGTCACAGGAGACTCTGATCTTCTACTTGAGAATAAGATGTGCCTTTCAGATCAATTTGACCTAATATGACCAGTCACAGTTTCGCGGAACTGACAAACTTCAGAGTAGTAGAGCTTCTGTGGTGTTGAGGTCGCAGTGCCATACATACGTTGCTCGTGCTACTACTGATGGTTTCCGTCGTCCATGTCGGATCCACGATAAGCAATTCTTGAAATCGGCTATTACGCATGCACTCATTATAGCTTGATATTACCAACCTGTAGATTTTTCTCGCTGGAAAAATACAAGTTATATATTGCTGCTCTCTTACAGAGCTCCTTTATGATGACTCGACGTTCCGTGGGATGCGGAGACAATGACATTACAAAATTTCCTGGTGATTCCGTCCTACTCGAAATTTAAGATAGCCTCAAGATGCATGAAAAAGTTCAGAATACTACTCTTCACATATAGCATTAAAGAGGTCAATCATTCGACCCTTGTAACATACAAGTCTCTGAGTTATGCTCAGGCTAAAGGAACACCAAAATATCAGGTTGATGCACGGTTGATGTACCTTTTCCTCCAGGTTTGACCCTTCCGTATTTCGTTCGCATGGACGTTGCTATTTCATGATCACGTGTGACGTGTGCATGATACTCTTGCGTCACACTAGCTATCACTCGCCCACCCTGCATTTGAAGGTCGCAATGCCGCATAATTTTGCCTACCTAATCTTCGATTTCTTGGTGTGGCAAGGAGCGTCCCTGATCTTTTTTTTGCTTACGAAGCTCACAACAACAGGTTTCTCTCTGCATTTGCGTGAATTAAATGCAGAGGAGAATTTGAGGTTGCGAGCTTTTCTACAGCTGATTGCATTCTTACTCTCCTCACACTCTAGGTATCAGAGGTGTAGGTCGAATCACAAAGATCTGTAGTGCTGAAAGCACAGTTCGATGTTAGCTTTTGCTAGAGTATTCAGTGATATTTTTACCGCTGAGCGTAAAAGCAACATCAGCAATACTTTTTTATTAACATCGCTCTCGTTAGTTTTGGTAGCAGACCGGTCTTTCCGCGGACGTTGCCGTTTCCACATGTACTCGGTTTCATAGGCACGATGTTGTCGGAAAGGGAAAGTGATGTGAAAGGTTGTCGACCTTCAGTACTGTTTTCCCATTCTGAATGACACATGACCTTCTCGAGTGCGGCACTGATTATTTTAGGTGAAATGGTATCGCCCTGCTGAATCTCTCTCACCCTTGCAAGCAATTACGTGTAGAATGTTGGAAATGCAGGTCGCAAAGTTGTCACAATTCCAGGAAAATTCTATACTGAGTGAAAAGTCCAGACAAAGTGCTCCGTTTATTCTGCTCCGCTAATATCGGAGGATTCCTTCAAATTGACTACCGCAACGCATAAGGCCGTATTGTATCCTCGCGACATTTCGATGAGTCTCGTGATAGTTTGGATACAGTCGATCGTACTGAGCCTCCTCCAAAATCCTAACTGTCCGTATGACTTTCCTTCATTTCATGTTCCGCCGATCCTGTTGAGTATGATTCGTGTGAAAACTCGATAGATCACGGACTGCGGGCAAGTTAGTTGCAGTTGCCTGCTAAGTATCCCTTCTTATATAGTAACACTTATTCCTAGGGTGAAGGGTGAAGAGCAGCAGTTCTGACTGAAGCCGCGGTAGCTGGAGAGCGCATTCGCAAAGCCCGCCGAAGCCTCGTCAATTATAACACCAAGACGACTGTGGCAAGACCATATAACTGCTGAATTCTCTAATGCGGCCGTCTACAACTTGTTAAAAGATCTCCATATTGTGCGATAGCGCGCGAATCGGGCAATAGCTCATGCAGTCCATGTATGTAGCTGCCGTTCTTGTTCTGTATCGAAATGGTGGAACTCTGCTGCCAACTCTCAGGCCTCTTCTTTCTGCCTGCTACAACCTGATTGAAGAACTAAGTCGACCTTTTTCATGTTGCCAGATTCCAGCACCACGAATTCTGTACATCAGCTGCCCAATCATCTGGAACAGGTTCCCTCCCAGACGACGTCTTCTTCAGAACCAATCCCGTTTCTTCCTGTTCTTCTGTAGGGATCGTGCACGAGCAGAGCGTAAGGTAGAAGCGTATGAGCAAATTTTTCTGCTAAAAACTCCTGAAGTAGTAAGGCCAGCGTTTTACTGATATTCTGCAGTCTATTAGAAAATAGCCACTTTCGGCGATTGATGCCAAAAAACTTTTCGGCACCTCCATCTGGCGATGGCGGGCTTGGGCGAGACAGTGAGTCACAAGTATAAGGTCACCCTAAAATTCGATATTTATATTATAAACAGCAAAGCAGTATCTTTCTAGCACCATTAGAACCATCACATTCCATAACCCCCATATACGCTTATGCAGATTATTTTCGATTTTTCCTCCGTTTCATACGTATACAGTCACCCCCAACGGTATCAAGATAACGAAATCGAGTGCTTTATCCACTATGCCTCGCGGTCGTCACCTCTCTTCAAAAGGAAAGGCCCAAGTACGGATTCCACGTGATACAGGGCTTAGTATGCGGGCTATTGGGAAACAAATTCGAAGATTTCTCAGCTCCGTGCGGAGGTATCCAGAAGTTCCTATGTCTCCAGATCCCCACGAGGAAGGATCGACTAAAAACCGCGAACGACGTCAAAAGGAGCAGTAGCACCGTAAGGGCAGCAATGATGAGGGCTCCGAGGCTTACTGACCAGACCACCACAAAAAAGCAGGACCTAAAAGTGCGAGATCGACTTCGGGAAGAGATCAGACCAAGGTAAGTTTGTATTTCAGATTAGCCATAAGGTGAAATATTCGTTCTGTTTTTGTTCGTTCAGATCGTGTTTCCCGATAAAAAGAAGTCTAATCTGAATGGCTCCGATGATTACAACTACTACTGACGTGACTTGCGAGAAGAGCCGATCACCTTCGGTCATCGCAGTTTTGGAGAAGGAAGTGTTATTGTATGGGGAGACTTCTGCAATGATGTCTGCTGGAACTTCCTCTCGTGACCCCCACAATGGATTCCATGGGCTACTAGGAAGTCTATCAATGAAATCCGGTGCCGTTTCTTAGCAGGCGACGTGTTCTTAAACTATCTTTCAACAGGACAAACCTGCGATCCACGTCAGTCACTCCACTAGGGCTGGTTGCAAGCCCAAAACATCGAGTTCTGCCATAGTCGCTTGCACCCCCGATATGAAACTAATGAAGCATCTGTGGAGCATAATTGTAAGGAAGATCTATGCGAACAGTGGTCATATCCAGACAATAGAAGAGCTCGAGCAAACGATAATTGAACCAACATCGAGGACTCATTGACTATTATTTGTCTTCGCTTGTCGCTAATAACCATAAATATTGTAAGTCCTCAAACTGGCTCTATACTTATAAAACGGTGGACAAACTAGGGTAGTGAATCTTATAATAATGGTTGCAACTTATCTGCTTGCCTGCTTATCGTGTAATTACCAAATTCGAGAGTGACCCTATACTTCTGGAACGCACTCGTTGGTCTTCACGCATTTTGAGTTACTCGCTGGCATTGGCATAAAGAACACCTTCTGCATCCACCACAGCCTTTTTTGCCACCTTCTTTGCTCCTTCATAATTCCACCAGTTATCGCTTGTTTTATCAATAAGAGAAATGGGGTAGAGTCTCTCTGGGGGGGGGGCGCGCGATTCACGCGTGACCCCATCACTTCGCGCACGCAGCATCGTTTCAGTACCTTTCTGTTGAGATGGACCAAATAAATCTGCAGTAGTTCACGGCTTCACCATGAATAGAGTAAATCTCTTTACTATGGCAAAAAAGCCCCTTCGAGATTGAGAATTCACTTCGTAAGTCGACAATTTACTTGCCAAACGCTCAAAATAAAAATAACTTCGAATTTTTTGATTCTAGAAAACGCAATCCTTCTGTAAAGGTGCATGGTTGGTCATTTCTTTACTTATTCTACTTATAACTTCTTATTTCTTCCATTATGATGGTAGGCATGATGTTTTAGTGCGTGTTGTACGATGACCTCATTATATCGGCGCGTGAATCGCACCACACCCGTCTCTCTGTCGCGTATCCTCTCTCTGAGGCTATCCGTCCACAGCCACGCTTGCTTATCAATCTTACCCGGCCCGGCTCTGTCTCGTCTGAACTGGAGTTATCGATCCGGTAGCGATTTTAAGCGTGCAAATCAGAGGCGATGTTGTGTGGCGACCATCACATACGCCATAGTCTTCAAATCACGAGCTCTTGAGCTCGAAGATTGATTAAAAAAGTCAATTCTTCGTTCTGATTCTGATAAGAGTCACATTCTGAAACTTCATTTCCACGGTGGTGGAGGTCGCACAAGTTAGTGTATTCAGGAATTCGCTCACAGCTGACGTCACGTTATCCATATAAAAACCCATTATGACAACTGTGACGATATATCTCGTAGTGCCAACGGGCCTTTTTAGGTCACGTGAGACAACAGCAGCTCCTAATGGCGTCACTTTTGCTTGGCACTTCTGCTACCTTCCGATTAAGAAAGGTTCGAAACTCTTCTTTTATTCGCCCAGAGCAGCCAGTCCGTGGAGCGTATGCAGAGAAAATGTGGTACGGCTAGTGTTCAAGAACGATTACAAACTTCATTAAAGCTGCGGAAGTGTTCGACGCCCACAATGGAGACCAGAAAACTTTCGGAAAGAATGACTCCGACAGCATCGGTGGTCTTAGAGCAGCAGCAAAGAGTGGCTTCGAAGCGGTGGCCGATGTTCCTCGACTCAGAGCCGTCTCGTACAGAAATGAAAATTTTGTACTGCACGTAATCTCACAAAAGTTAACCGTAAAATAAAATTCCACAACCAAAATATTTTCCTTCACGGCATATCCCTATTGAAATACGCAAGCCTTCGCCCGTCACTTACACGAAGCTGGAAAAGGTACCTTGAGCAAGGAAATGGGACAGGACACGGCAGAAACCCCATAGCCGGGTGCCGTACTCAATTTTTGCTTTTGTCCGCTTCGTCTGTTGCGGGCCTTCAGGAGGAGCATGGTTGCCCTTCGATGCTGTCCTCGCATCGGAGACCCTCGCATATCACACCCGCCGGGGTTTGTGAGTAAGCGTCGGCTTCCAAGGACGCCGTGGCATCTAACCGTGGTACACGGACGTCATGGACCATTCCGATTCTTCTTCATCTCCCTAGCGTTAATCTCGCGCCATCGCAGGTTCCGCTGTTCTTGTTAGCCATCTCGATTTATTTCTACGCACAGAATCTTCATCCCTTACTTCAGCTTCGTTGAGGTCCGTCTTGGTCATGCCCAGCCATTCCTTCTTCGAAACTCCTCGTAGTCGCTTACCCTGTACTTTAAACTCTATTATCGGATGATTCTGTGGTTTCGCCAGTACATGCCCGAACCATCGCAGACGCTGTTCTCTCATCTTCAGCTGGACTTAGGTTGTTGCGAACGTCTTCATTCTCCCATCTTCTTCATTCCGCCCTAACGTCCTCATTTCTGATTCGATCCAGCCTCGTCCAGCCACAAGCACATCTAAGCATTTACACTCCAGCAAAGTGCAGCTGACTTCAATGGTTTTTACTTACGGGCCAACACACGCTGCCGTAGAGTACAGTGGGCCTTACCACTCTTCGATGCACCAGTGGAGCGCCGACGGTGGCAAAGAATACCAGTAGACTATTTTCACTTCATCCATGCTGCGTTTATTCGGGCTTTTACGGCCCGGTCCACGCTGCCATCAGCGGCTAGATCACTTGTTCTGAAATCTGTAAGAAGATCTAAGGCGTGAAACTTTCGATGGTTTCCCCGTGAGTGTCGGCAATTGAATCCGTGCACCTCTCGGAACTGAGGAAATTGGTCTTCTTCACTCTAGGAACTGAGGAATTTGGTCTTCTTCACATTCTCCGCCATCACTTTCTCCATCCTGAAGTTCTTCTTTGCTCTCCGCTATCAGCGGTGCCAAACGAGTAGAGAATAGACTCCAGCGGTCCTTTCATAAGTTCGTTTGTGATGACGTCTGTTGTTAGCAGGAGGAGGACGGGCTCAGAGCTTATCCTTAGTACCACAACAGTGACATCTATGGCTCCGATTCGACCGAGTGGAGAGCGTATTGTTGTGGTGGAGCCATCGTACATGTCCTTGACAACAAAGATCATGTGTTGTGAAGCGTTTGTTTTTGGAGCGCTCTCTAGAGGATTTGTTGCGTGAGATGGTCGAATGCCTTCTCGAACTCTAAGAAGGCCAGGTAGCAGAGCCTAGGCTTTTCTCGATAATTCGCCATTACTTGTCTAGCTATGAAGATGGCCCCTGTTGTAGACCTATCAGGCACTGTGAAATTATCCCAATCTTGAGTCGACCAGCCGCTCGTACAATTTCATCGTGTGAGCAGTCAACCTGGGGGGCAGGGATAGCCGAGTGGATAAGAGTGTAGGCTCACGTCTGCACTCAGGGGAATTGCGAGTTCGATCCCTGCCGAGGCAACTCCATGCCTTGCAAAATTTGCAAAAAATGGTATCGGTACCAGCGTCAGGCCAGGTTGACAGGCCG